AATTGGGACTTTTGAGCGAATATTATTCTTTTTAGAGCGTCGGCAATATGTGCTATTTTTCCAGTTTCGGCAAGCACGCAACTTGTGTCGAGCGGACCGAACTTGAATCAATCCTAGAAAACTTCAATTAGAATTTTCAATCAAATAAAACTCATTTTAGTGATTGACTAGGTAAGGGCTTCGAAATACTAGCTTAAGAGAAAACTCAAATTTTCGAAGTAAAATCAGTGGTCGGTTCTTACAGAGACAGCCTCTTAAGTGTTATCCTCGTTAAATTAAGTCGCTACTGCTACTACTACTACTACTACTATTACTAATACTACTACTACTACTCCTACTACTGCTACTGCTTTTGCAACTTCTGCTGCTACTGCTGCTACTGCTGCTACTGCTGCTACTGCTACCTCTACGGCTACTGCTACCTCTACTGCTGCCACTGCGACTACCGCTGCCACTGCGGCTACCGCTGCATCGCGCTCCGGAAAGCCATAGACAAGTCCTCGCGTTACGTTATTGGAAGAAGACGATAAAGAAGATTGACTCTTCGGCCGCGCGATCATTTGAGCACCCTGAATCAACGCTAGGGAGCGGTTAGCTTGTGATGGACTAAGTACATCCAAGGTGAGTAGATATGTTTGCAGTCTATTAAGGAACTCAGTAGACTGAATGGGATGCAAACAAATTTTGTTTTGCGCGATACACTTACAAAGATCCACAAAACAGTTTTGTTTTCTTATATAATTTTAAGATGCGTTGGTAGTTTTAATTCTCAATTTGTAATTTGTAAGAATTTATCTAATTGTAATACGCTTTTGATTATTTCTATAAAAAAAATGCGCAATATAAGAAATGAATGTTATTGTTATTGTTATTGTTATTGTTATTGTTATTGTTATTGTTATTGTTATTGTTATTGTTATTGTTATTGTTATTGTTATTGTTATATGCAATGGAAATTGCAAAGATATGACATAATAAAGCTCTTTATAACATAACTAAAGCAAAGCACGTACTCTGATTCGTTCATTCATCGTCTGCTGTTTGCCCTTGGATGTACGCTGCTGACGTGTGTGTTGATGTGATGTAGCTCAATAAAAGGACTTCTTTTGCTCCAATGTGTCAATATATGCTATAAAACAAATGGTAAACTACACGGCTTTACACTATTGAGTTATGAATGTGCTTGGGAGGTTTGCTAAGCACTCAAGAAGCTAGGGTTGCTCTCAGCTGTCGCCTCGTACGACTCTTACGCTTCTTCGTGTTTAGCAACCTCCCGCGTGCATCCATAACTCAATAGTGTACGCTATGGCGTTTACCACTTGTTAAATCTCGCAAAATTTTTAGTTTGAAACGAACACAATGTTTATATACTCTATATTTTAGCAGGCGACCTTGGGTTAAGCCCGTTATGATTAGTTACACGTTGCTTTCTGTGGCTACGCACGCATGCGAGTGACTTAAAATGAGTGAAGTTCATTGGGTGTGACACTTCCGGTTCTTTTGTGGCTCAGTGAAAGGGTCAGTTTAGGTCACGAAAAGGTTGGCTTATACCTGTCAACATCGGCTCCCGCAGGGTTGGTAAATATTTGATAACCAGCAAAACCCCTGTAACAGACTATAAAGGAACTGGAACGAATGGGTTTTAAACAAATCTTGTTTTGTAAGGCGAAGCCGCCGTTATATGCCTCACTCTGGCACTGTCTTCGAGTCTGTATCAACAACGCTTAATTAGGGCGTTTAAATGTGGTTTCAAATTGAGGGAAAATTCGTAACGCTATTTTTGCAAGGTAGATAAACCAAAAGATGTAACAATTAATCGAAGTTAAACAATGACAGTGGCGACTGAGGAAATGTTTGCGACAGGCGCCGTCAGCGAACTTCCATCAAAACATGGCCACTCATTCGCTGTCCATGGATTTTTCTAAGTTCAATCTGTCTTTGTTTGATTTACGGCTTTTTACAGTACTTCCGATGGAGACTATGAACAATTCAAGTTTTGTGTGACATCAGCTAAATGGTGCTTTACTGCATTGAGTCAGGCGTGTTTATCGCAGGTCATAGGCCACAGGCTAGGAAAAGAGATACGAATTCAGTGTTCACTGGTCTTCGCTGACGTGTCAACAGGAACCACTCTTTACAGTACCCACAATCGCCTGTTTTTTAAACTAATCACGTAGAATTGGCGATAAACCAAAACCTCTTCAAAACAAGTTAATATTCGCTATATGTATTGACACACTACACCAACCTGTTGATTGTCGATCCAGAATCATCAGGCAAAACTTGATTAATAAGACCGGTAGGGATAGAACCGTTGATGGAAGGTTTACGTGTGCTTCGGTCGTTATTTGTGTCGCCATTGTGAACTGGCGTGAGAACATCGCGACAGTCGACGGTCCAAGATGACATAGTGTGAAGGTTGCGTTTCAGTTTATCGCCGATAAAATGTCTAACTTTTACCTTGGAGCATTCGTTTGCGACTATTGACTGCGGTATCAGCTGGACTTGCTAAAGATGGTATCCGTAGTAGCCGTCAGACCGACCGTAGTGTGACTCGTGGTGAGTACAGTGTGAAAGTAAACTGAAGTATGACCAAGTTTCTTCTCATTGAAGCGTTGCGAACTTTGAACTGTTATTCAATACTGCTACTGACGTCGACACGGTTGGGTAGTTATGTTGAGCACAAATAAGACATCTGGAAAATGGACACTCCAGGAAGGAAACTTCTGACCTCGCGGTAATCATAGTAATCCATGGTAATGTTTTGTTATTTGCATAAAGAGAATGTCATGAGGGACTCATGCGTGATGCAAATTTCACCGCATCTCGTACATTCTACGAAATAGATATCTTAAATATCCTGTGTCACAGTATTTACTACATTCCTTTTTTTCTTCGGGGCGAGATAAGTTGCTGACCACTTCCTGTGGCCTGAATACTTGTCCTCGCTTTCAAGGTCAGAGTATCCGGTCTAAATAACTGCGAATGTGGAATCTGAAATATCGCTGTGGAATCTGAAAGAGGACGTCAAGTTCATCGACCAAATCAAGCAAAATCGGTGATGACTGACAATCATGAGTGTTCCTTTTGCGGGAGCGAGATGAATAACAAATGCAAAAAAAAAAATCGGCGGAACTGACGAGAAAATAACTGCCTTGCGGGATTATTTTTCTTGGTTTTCATGATCCACTTGTGATAACAACATACGAAGGTATGTAAAACATAGGCACGCAAGGCGTGCAAGAGTTTTTTTGGTGAATTAAAAGTCTTTAGAAGAAGGAAAATTTCAGTAGAGAAGGACCCTCTCCCGAGCGTGATGCTGCGTGAGGGAGAGGACCAGTACTGGACTATTGTTGGTTTAATTGAGGATGGTTAAGGGGGTCTGGAACACGTTTAATGGAAACTAAAACAGTCCTTTCTTAATTCACGGTAAATATAATCGAAGTTTCTTTCTTTGGCTGAGCGTACATGAGGGTTAGTTCAAATGAGTGAAGTTCATTGGATGTGACACTTCTGGTTCGTTTGAGGCTCAGTGAAAGAGTCAGTTTAGGTCACGAAAAGGTTGGCTTATACCTGTCAACATCGGCTCCCGCAGGGTTGGTAAATATTTGATAACCAGCAAAATACCCGTAACAGGGTTACGCATTACGGTAATCGTGAATCGAAGCCGCCGTTATATGCGTCACTCTGCCAGTATCTTCGAGTCTGGATCAAGCACGCTTGATTGGAAGGTAGAAAGATACTCTCAAATTGAAGGAAACTCAAAACAATAGTTTTGCAAAGTTACACAATGACGACGGCGACTGAGGAAATGTTTGCGACAGGCCTTCCATCAAAACATGGCCATGCACACATTCACTGTCCATGGATTTTTTTAAGTTGAATCTGTTCGATTTACTGCTTTTCTCAGAACTTCCGACAGAGACTATAAACAATTAAAGATTTGTGTGACATCAGCTGAAAGGCATTTTATTGCATTGAGTCGCAGGTCATAGGCCACAAGCTGAGAAAAGAAATACGAATTCAGCATTTACTGACGTGTCAACAGGAATCGCTCTTTACAGCACCCATAATCGTCTTTTTTTACAGTAATCACGCAGAATTGTTTTATCCCCCGAAGAACTAGTTTTTGATCAGACACAAATATAAAATTCTATGTGTGGGTGCTTATGGCGCGTTTTCAGGGTCAAAATTAAAAACTAACTTTTCCACCTTTCCTTACCTGCTAAGTAAAATGTCTGTCATTTCCTGTCTTTGAAATTAGACAGTACGCATCGCTTTTGACCTCCGAAACAATACATTCCGCGTTTCCTGAATACTAAAATCATAACATCCGGCATATTTTGACCTTTGAACAAAATTCTCTACGTTTCCTGACTTCTCTCGAATTTTAAGTCCGGCATGTTCTGACTTTCAATGTAATCAGTTACCAAATGTCGTAATACTTAGTT